GTTTTCTAACTGGCCACAAATGTGAAGAACGACTACAACTAGAAAAAAGTCTATAGACATATAAATGATAACTGCCAAACACATCGTCGCAGTCTGAATGAAAAATGTTAACTCAAATTGAAGGCTCTTATCTAAGTCGTAGAAGTGATACGTCTCCAAAGGTAACGATTTCGAGAAATTCGTTACAGATATTACGTTTATGCCAAAGAAAGGAGAAATTATTATTGTGAACAACGATATTAACGTGAAACCGTATCCAATCATCATAATTAATCGCGCTGTTCGTGCTTGTCTTATCATCACATTTCTTTCTGCATTCAACTTTAATGTCATCCAATCTTCTGCCATCATATTTACAATTGACAAGAGAACTTGAAAATATAAATAACTATAGGTAAAACGTAACATTGTTAAAAGCACTAAAATATTGAATTATTTAGTCATATATTATTATTTGTGAACTATTGTCGCAAAGAGAGAAGTATGCACATTTTATAATTGATTTCTACGTTGCTATATATAGAAATAAATATATCATATATACATATATGTACTTCTTGTTCTTATTACAATCCAAACATAAGATGATTTAACAAAGCAATAATATAATGCTAAATATTTTATTTTATATAATTTTGGACATACGTGTTCGTTTTCGTAGTAATAAAACGTATTTCACAGATACCATTATCTAAATTAATGATATATGTAAATTATCTATTACAAGTATCATATTACCCCAAACTTGTACTAACGCATATACTGTCGGAAGATTATAAACAAATATCAATAAAATTATAATGATGCCAATCCAAATTTCTGGCCATAAACTTTTCTTATTGTTAGTACTTTTGTTGAGTTTAGGCCACAAGCCTACCATTTCAAATGCTAAACGATGTAAATTAATTGCCCACATGAAATCTAATAAAAATGCGATATAAGCATACATTTGGATAATACAGTTGCAAATATAACATTTATGTTTAATATATAACGTAATTAAATTATTAAATATTCGTACGTAACAAAAGTGAACGATAAATATAATAATGCAGTACCTCAAAAAGAGATTTATAAAATTATACAAATTTAGTAGATATATTGAGTACGATTAATAAACAGAAAAAATGTAATATGATGTTAGTACCTCTGTATCTTGAAGAACTTGTAATATCCATGTTGAAAATTAAAACCTGCAGAACTCTTGTTCTTTCCACGGTATGATGTTAAATGATCATCACGCATGTTCTCTGTATAAATGCAAGAACTCGACAGCACTGTAAAAGGAGTTATTAAATATTAAGAATGCTACGTCCGATTACAGCTATTGATATCGTAAGAAAGACTTTTATAAACGTTCGAGTTATAAAAATTGTTTATGTCTAATCTAATAAAATAAGAGATAAAAAATGTTGCATCACATCATAAATTCGCCGATACTCACTTGGAAAGTTTATTCCATGTTTCATGTTGCTCTATTATGTACGCGTTTATTGCGAAACAAGAAGTAACGCTATTGCATTTTTAATGAGACCTTCTATACTCGAAACAAAAATTATAGTAAAAAAGAATGATACGAAATTGTATAGTACATGTATCATTTAAATGCCTCTTTCAAAGACAGTAAACCTATCGTTGCAGTAAACATGAGTGAAGGTAATATTATGCTTAGACTATAAGTAGATTATAATTCGTACTTTACAATTGTGCACACATTTCCAGTGATAAAATTTCAGTGTCTAAAAACTGCAATTTTATGAGATATGATAGCTTCCATACGACTGACAACATTCTTTCAATAAAATAACAAATGTGTTCTGCAATATTTCTCTACATTGAAGATAAAGGAGCCGACGAATTCTTTTCTCAAAATTGAAGCAAGTCATAAAACTCACATAGATATAATAACGTATAAGTACATTTATCTTGCCATGTTGATTTGGTAAAACGCAATTAATATCAAAAATTTGTAAAACGTTAATATTAAATAAAATGTAGCGAACATTAAGAGGAAATTTTTTATTATACTTTTGTATAATATAATATATACTTTGTATATGTACTAATTTTTTGTTTCTCAAACACTTTAATGCACAAAGACCTAAATTCTAATAAATTATTTCTGTAAAACGAATATATTTGTTACATTACAAAATGTTTGATGGTATAATTTATAATAAACAACTATCACATACACATTAGACAAAACATAATTTCATTTTTACAGTAACAATAAAAGATATTTTCTAGATAAGAAATTGTGTGCACTTGTAAATATTATAACTATGAACGTATTTATTTCTATATTTATGTAACTATTGAATATTAATATATCATCTTTAGTCATGTTTTGTCAATAAAAATGATATATATTCTATCGATGATTTTAATATCTAGAAATAATAATTATTTTTATTTAATGACATTTGAGAAATACAATATTGATTTTTAGGAAAGACCGAGGTTAGTAGATAGTAGCCAACTTATTTTTTAATTATTTATATATACTCTCCATTTTCATGAATATTTTTAATTTTCAAAACTGTTTTGAAGGCCTGTCTAGTCGAAACTTATATGATACTTATAGATGTACAGTGCATAAAAGATTGACAACTAAATGTTTTATATAAAAGTCGTCATATTGTTCAATTTGCGTAATAGTTGATTAATCAGAACAATAAAAGTAAATATTTGTTCTGATTGATATAATTTCATGCAATCTCAATTTTCATGCTCCATTTCTATTTTTTAAATACATATTATAGATTTATAGGGGAGAGTTGCCGAATGCGTACTGATCGCCTAAATCGTACCTCATCAATATTTTATATTATTGGTTAATATAGGCAATATTTAGTAACAATAATATAAAATATATGAGAAATGAATAATATAGATAAAAATATAATAGCCTAAATCTTGTTTTATGGATGTTAGCGGCGTTTTAAAAAATCATCATATTACTTTTACATAGCTGACAACTTATGTAGCTGATAACCACGCGATCATCCAATTTTATTATAAATTTTTGTATTTTTATAAAAGAAGATTTATTGTAGAGTATTTTACATTCACTGTATATACATATTTGCAATCATTGTAAAGATTAAATCGATATTTTTACAAAATTCGTCAAGTTTTCTAAATCGTACTATCAAAAGATAAGGCTGATAACTGACAATAATAAGTGCGAAAATATATATAAACAAATTTTTTTGGTGTCATTTGTTTTTTTTATTGTTATTTAATAATTATAAAGTATTTGATTTTCTTCAATAAATTATTAAAATTAGATATTAATTAATTATTAGGTATTAGTTAATAATTTCTTTTATTAATCTTATATTTTTAACTGTTTTCATTCATAAATTCAATACTTTCAAAGGAAATGCTGCAAAAAGATTTATAACAAATTAATTTGTTATTAGTGGAAAGTTAAACATGTAATAATAAGCGTCCAAAACCTCAAGCTATAATTTCTAATGTTCATTTGCATACAAAACAGTGCCAAATGGAAAATATAATAAAAAATAGGTTAAATGGTACGCATTCCGCAACTTTCTCCTACACATCATCCTAGCCTTACTAAGGGATTAGACATGATTGACGAATCGTTTTATACATGTAATCGGGATTGTAAGCAAACGGCATTTTTACTATATATAACGTATAAAAGATGGTTTTTTTTTATAAGCTTTATTATAAAAAATTTTATCAATGAATAGTCGCCTTTATTTTTGTAGTATAAATATAAGTGACTTAATAAAAGTTTAACTTTCATCAAATTATTTTCATGGAATTGTAAGCTGCTTTTTAAAAATAACAATAAATTATGAATACTGATCAAAGATTGCATAGATTAAGTATACTCGTAGTATGTGAAAATTATGTCATAAATAGGTTTAAAATATAAAAAGTAACGACAAGAGTAACTGTAACATTTATTACTGGAAAAATGTAACTGCGTTACCGTTATAGTTACAAAAAAAAATAACCCTGTTAGCAGTCCGATACAAAAGAAAGTAACTTATAAGCTTGAAACAATAATGACGTTACGTAATTAGTTATTTCCATTCCCTGGTTATTTCTGCGAATTATTTCTGCAAAAAAATTGACAATATCATATATTAAAGGATATTTAATAATATGATTAACAATAAACAATGAGCTATATATGAACGAGGATTTTATTTTATTGTAATAACAATTAGATACTATCGTCTAATACTCGTAATTATTTAGCTGCAAACACACATTTTCTTCTCATATCATTATGATCTTCAATCACTCTTTGTCAGTAAAAACGATACATAACCACATGATGTCTTTAGTATCTAAAAAGTTATTTTTGTTTAAACAAATAATAAAGCAGTTAACAAGTATTAACTAAAAAATATCTTGAAATGATCTTTTTTTGTCTATATATATATCATAAAAGTCAGAATATTAACTGACAATGATTACTTTATAATTTATACATATAAATATTTTTCTAACAATAAGTTTAATGTATAAATGTAGCATATGTTGTTATTACATGTAATTTAATTTATATATAATATAATCAGTAAAATTGTAGAAACGAGGAGCACCTTTTAATGACCTTGACATTGATATATGTTGTCAAGATTATGATCTTGACTGGCATTAAAATGAAATTTTTGTCATTTATAAATTAGATTGGATTGAACTGGATTAGGAATATTGTGGGATGAAGGTGTAGATTCCACATCTTCCCCGACCTTGCATGTTCTTTCTATGCATGCAAAACTCATGTGAAATAGTACGTTTGTAGACATCATTTTGCGTGAAGGTTATCAGTACAATTATAGACCTCGTTTCGCCAAAAGGGAAAGATGTGAAATAGACCCCGTTTTACGCTTAAAAAAATAATACATAATTACAATGAATGAATTTTTTTCTGAAATAATGAGTTTCATATTATTTATGTATCCATTAAATGATTACCATATTAATTAAAAGTTTTAATTGAAACTTTGTCAAGGACACTCAAGGTCATGACCTTGACAACGTACGTCAAGGGCATTGGTCCCGTGATCTTCATTTTTATCCTTTATAGTCTAAAACAGATACATCAGTCAGTATTTTGAATTTCATCATATATATGTATATATGTATCAAAATTAACAATGTAATATGTTCACTAAAATAAATAATTATATTTGCTAATTATATTGGATACTGATTCAATTATTAAATGAAATTTTTATTTAAAAAGTCACAAGTGCTCGCATACAGGTTATCCGATAGTGACCGCATTGGCTACGTTTACACCGTGCATTTAGGCCGCGGCCTATACAATAGATGTCCTTGTTTATAGCCTGTAGGTTAAACAAAGACACCTATCGTACAGGTCGCGGACTAAACGCACGGTGTAAACGCAGCCATTATCTCTCATGGCAGGTAGAGTGGACTAAACTAATTGTAAATGAAAGAATCCTATACCGTTTTGTAATTTTCGCAATAGATAACAAAAAGTTAATTACTAATGATTGTCGAATAAGCATGTATTCATCCGGTTTACTGCTAAATGCACACGTGGTTATTAGCCGTGTGAAGAGTTGTTTATTACAAGCAACAAGTATTCTAGGACGCCCTGACATGCGCGCCTGGATGTGTGTGTGCGTTCATGCGAAGAGAAAAGGAAGGAGAGAAAGAGAAGTGCTGCATATGAAGTAAAACAGATTCCATTAAATAGTAAAGGAAAAAAATTATAATGAGAGAATTCTAAATAATCTTACGCTGCAAAAAGTAACCATCGTTAATGGAAAAATCTTTCCTGCAGTGAAACGAAAAGGATGTTTGGCTCGCATTATTAACAAAATAAGACTTCTCGCTTTTCTTGATTCCAACTTGTACCATTTAAGATCACACATCACACGATATACTGCATTGCACTTAATGAATATTATACGTACATATAAGAAAACATATTAATACACATGCCATTTTAATGAGAAGTATTTCTAGCAAGGACTCGGATCAAAGTTACATTCCGGATTAAAATGTCAGTCTGATTACGTTTATAATCCGAAGCTATTCAACTTTCGATTTTAGTGTCAATTCTAGTTTTCTTAGTGATAACGGTGACCGTTACAGGTATATTACCAAAAACCGAAAACAAACGGGATAGAAAAGGACTGAAATCTAAACCATTCTGGTAACTGTTACGAACTAAAAGGACTGAAACAAAAAGTTGTATTTAGCCTCGAACAGTTATCCTAATCTTTCGGTCCGAATTCCTATTTTCCAGAAATATTAGTAATAGTTAATTAAGACTTAATTAATTTAAATTCTTATTTTTTCAACGTGAATGAGTGAAGCGCTCTACATTCGGTCAAGATAAATCTTGGTACCTAATAATATATTGTATAAATTTTTTGAGCTTTCAGTTCAAACAAACTGCGCACCGATTATTTGGAGGTCTTGAAACACAGTCTTAAACTGAAAGTGGAGTACGTAATAATATCAGTTATATAAGTTAATAAGCAATTCAATATTATTGATGTTAATAATCTTTAATGCATTGTAAATAATTTGATTTTTTATTATAAATTCAAATTCACACAAATAATATATCATTAAATACCAGTACTCGCATTGACTGTACAGACTTAACACATTTCTCAGTCCATTATCATTTAATATTCCTAAAATATCATTTATCTAAATTAAATATGACTTACTTGATCCATTACGAACTCTCCCGCTTCACAATAGAGAAAAGTATTCATCAATAAAAAAATAAGAAGCAATATCGAATAATATCCTTGCGCGATAACAGCTTTATCTATTTTTCTGTCAGTAAGTATCTAAAATTTTATAAATTATGAAAAGATAAATTAGAGTAAAGTATGCATTAATATATTTTCTCACGTTTGTTTTACTAAAACTTACAATAGTAAATAAAAACCCACTTAGGCAAAATACAATACAAAAATGTAACATTAATACCAACATCATTAAAGAGTATGTATTTTCGATATTGTCGGCAAATCTGCAAAAATAAGAATATTTAAAAGAATTATCACATTAATTTTCAATAATTTTTACAAATCAATTTTGTTAAATGTCATCTATGGTGACAATAAAAATTCATACCTGATAAGACGTAAATGGGTCGCCACAATGTTATTTAAAACTTTATTAAAATTTTTGCATGAAATCAAATTAATTAATCGACACCTAAGATTTTCTAACTGCCCACAAATGTGAAGAACCGTTAGTACTAGAAAAAAATCTACACACATATAAATGGTACCTCCTAATAAGGCCGTCAAGCTATGAATGAAAAATGTCAATTCAAATTGCGGACTTTTATCTGTATTGTAGAAATGATACGCCTTCAACGGTAACGGTTTGCGCACACTCGTGATATTCGTTACGTATAATACTTGAATGCCAAAACAAGGCAAAGTGATTATTGTGACAACCATTATTACCATAAGAACATATCCGACCATCATAATTAATCGTGCTGTTTGTGCTCGTTTTATCATCACATCTCTTTCTCCATCCAACTTGAATGCCATCCAATCTTCCGCCATCATATTTACAATTGACAAGAGAACTTAAAAATATAAATATATTATACTAGGTTTATCCCAAAAGTATCCGACCTCTGCGTATATCTTTGTCCTAGGCATTCCCTCTCTCCTTTTCTCTCTCTCTCTCTCTCTCTCTCTCTCTCTCTCTCTCTCTCTATTGTAGAAAACAGATATTCAGTATTTAAGGAGTACCTTGAGGAGTACACCCACCAAGCGTGGACTCAACAGCTGTTAAGTTGGCAACGGTACGCAGTTGTATAATGAGCGTCGAAATCTCCGAGCGTTGCATTTTCACGATAACACACTTCTTCATTCATCTCACCTAATTCAGGATTTTTGGATTAAACACAGGGTTGTCCAACTTCGTCAACCTCCGTACAGTCCAAATACAGCCCCATGACCTCTGGTATTTTCTAAGTTGAAAAAATCTGTTGGGAAAAAAATTTGACGATGTTAAAGAAATAAAACTAACGACGCTCGGAATACTCGACGCTCACACAACTGTGTACCGTTGCCGATTGAACAGTTGTTGGATCGTGCCACTTGATGGGAGTACTCCTCAAGATTCTCTACAAATACTGAATATCTATTTTCCACGAGAGAGAGAGAGAGAGAGAGAGAGAGAGAGAGAGAGAGAGAGAGAGAGAGAGGGGATGCCCAAAGACGAAGACATACGTAAAGGTTAATTAGATACTTCTGGGACAGATCTTGTATACGTATAAAATTTAAGTATTGTTAAAGACGCTAAAATATTGAATTATTTAAATATATATTGTTATTTATAAATTATCGTAAAGAGAGAATCATACACACTTATATTTTATTTCCTTACACATTGCTATATAGGAGTAAATCATAAATATAATTTCTGGTTTCTGATATTATAATCCACAATATATTTATAATTATAATTATTCGTCATAACATGAGTTAATAAATCAACGGAATATAATGCTAAACGTTTTATAATTCTGAACATACCTGTTTGTTTCCGTCGAATGATAACGTATTTCATTGATATCATCAACTGAGGTAACGTTGTATGTAAATTATCTATCACAAGTATCATATTACCCCAAACTTCTATAACCGCACATATCATCGGAACATTAGAAATAAATATTAATAAAATAAGAACTATGCCGACCCATATTTCTGGCCACAAACTTTTTTTAGTACATTTGTTGGATTTAGGCCATAAGCCCACCATTTCGAAACCTAAACGATGTAGATTAACTGCCCACATGAAATCTGATAAATTTTTATACAATATAAGCGATTGAATTTGGATAAAATAATTAGAAATTAATTTATAAATTATTAAACAATTATACAAAAATAAATAAAGATTTTATTGCGATAGTTTGTATTTTTAATATTTACCTTATAAACATAGTAAATAACACTTGATAAATTAAGTTTTTTATACATGAGGCATACCATATATATATATATATTGGAGTTAAATTATTTTAAACACGGATGATGAACGGAAAATATATAACATGAAATACCTCTATATCCTGAAGACTTTGTAATGTCCATGTGAAAGATTAAAACGTGAAAAATGTCTCGTTCTTTCGACGATATAATGTAAAATGATTATCACACATGTTTTTCATACAAATACAGTAACTCGACAGTTCTGACAAACGCTGCATTAAATATTAAGAATGCTATCCCCAATTACAGATATCATAAGAAAGACTTTATAAACGTTCAAGTTATAAAAATCGTTTATATCTAGTCTATTAAAATAAGAGATAAGAATATTGCATCGCATTATAAATTCGCCAAACTCGCTTAAAAAGTTTTTTGTAAGTTTCATATTGCTCCATTATATATGCGTTTGCAAAACGGAAGATAACGCTATTACATCTTTAATTCAACTTTCAATACTAGCTACAAAAATTATAGTAAAAAAGAGATAAGATAAAATTGCATGTTATACTTATCCTTTAAATTTCTCTTTGAAAAGAATTTTTCGTTGCAATAAACGTGAGTGAAGATAATATTATGTCTAAACGATAAGTGGATTATAATTCGTGCTTTACAATTGCTCATGCATTTCCAGTGATAAAATTTCAGTGTCTAAAACTACAATTTTATAAGGTATGGTAGTTTTTAAAGATCTGACAACACATTCTTTCAATAAAATAACAAATGTATTCTCTAATGTTTCTGTTCATTGAAGATAAGGGAGCCGACTAATTCTTTTCTCAAAATTAAAGCAAGTGATAAAACACACATAGATATAATAATGTAAGTACATTCATCTTGCTGTATTGACTTGGTAAAACGCAATTAACACCAAAAATCTGGGGGCACGGTAGTGTTTCGGTGCTAAGACATGGCGTAAGATATTGCCGTGCTCTTTTACACGAGCCGGCGAGTTGCGCCAGATCGAAATTATCGGATTTCAGTAACAGCTGTCCCGATCGAATTTTAAGTTTATAAAATGTTATTATTAAAGAAAATGTAATTAAAAAACGAATTAAGAGGAAATTTTGTATTATACTTTTGTACTACAGGCTTCTCGTTTCTCCTTAAACGTAATGCATAAAGACCCAAATTTCATTGAACTATTTCTGTGCAATGAAAATATATGTTATATTACAAATGATCAAAATATTCCAAAAAGTAATCCTCTTACGGACTCTCCATAATCAAACAAGAAAAAAACTAAGAACGATTGAGAGTGCAGCGTTGTCGTTGGTATGCACACAAAGTAATAGAGTATGTTTCTTATTACTCTTTTATTCTATTAATCAAAATGAACTATATGTACATTTCGACTCTTTTTGGAGTCATCTTCAGCAAATTTCAAATTTTAATTATTCTTCTTTGTACGTGATTGAATTATAATTTTGACGCTCTAAAGTAAACATGTGATTTTAACAAGCGTTATGTATTAATTTAATTTATCAATGTTGCTGAATACAACTTAATGTGATTTTATCCGAAATTCTCAAGATATTCTTCTTTGTATGTTCTTTGTAAGATTTTACAACATCAAATCTATCAATTTGATGGTGACTTATACCTCGCAAACAATATCTTACGTGAATTCGGTATCTGAAAGGTTTACTCCAATTGCTAGTAGATTCCATTGTAAATTGGCTTTTTCTATACCAAATTCACTGAAGAATTTTATTAGAAAAAACAAAAACCAGTTAGATCCTTTATGTAACCAAAACATTGTCTATAAGATCTCTTGTGATGATTGCGATGTTAGTTATGTAGGTCAGACAAAAAGACAACTAAAAACAAGATTACACAAACATATCTCCGATATTAATAAGAAGTAAAAATCTCCAACGGTGATTACCAATCACCGCATTGACCAGAATCATAATTTTGATTGGGGTAATGTTGAAATTTTAGACAGAGAAGCTTCTTATAATAAGAGACTAATATCGGAAATGGTTCACATTAAAAGACAAAAACATAGCATAAACAAGCAAAATGATACAGATTCTCTGCCAGAATCATACTTAAATATTATTCAAGCTCTTTCCCCTTCTTAACATTGTCCTTTGTCTCCTTCCAATTACCTTTTCTTTATTTCTTTGTTTTCTTTTTGCCATAACGTCGCCTGACATTGTCGAGGATACACACTGTTAAATCTATAATGTCAAATTTAACTTAACGTGAGTCGCCACTGCTTCTACTCAATCATATTGTTATTTTATACTAAAACAATGGTTATATTTGACATTATACAGTGTCAATTTGATACTATATAGTGTCAAATTGACACGATATAGAGTTAAATTTAACTATCGTTTTGGTAAAAAATAATGATATATTTAGTAGGAGCAGTGGCGACTCATGTTAGGTTAAATTTGACACTGTAGATTTAACAGTGCATGCCCCTCCAATATATAGTATCATGGCTTACCTTTTATTATATATAGTATAACTTAGTTAATTTTGCGTTTTCCTCTCGGCGTCTGACTTACATCAACACGACAAATCAAGGTATATATATGTATATAACTTAAGTGGTACTAAATTACTATAAAATATACATAATTTAAAATTGTAACGCAATGTCAGGTTATTATTTGGAATTATTTGTAAGATTGTAGAATTTTGAAAAGTGAGACGAGATCACCTTTACATCATTCAAATGATGCCTTTACATATGGACCGCACATAATAGCGAATACGAAATAACCGACGTTTTTACTGGATATTATAATTTGACCGAATATTCCGATAATTTATGTAATATTGTTTGTGTTTACATTGAAAATGACCCGATCAGCGTCGAAACGTTTGTATATTTATTAAATATTCTTTATATTGTAACTGGCTCGTAGCCCTACTTTTATTTATTGAATTTCTAATTTGCTGAAGATATGTAACTCCAAAGAAAGTCGAAACGTATTTTGATTAATGAAATAAAAAGTAACAATTTAAGAAACATACTCTATTACTTTGCGTACCAACGACAATGCTGCACTTTCAATCGCCTTTGGTTTTCTCTACTTCTTAATACAAATGATATATAATTTATAATAAACAACACGTGCAATACACAAAATATAATTTTGTTCTTACTACAGTAACAATATAAAAGATATTTTCTAGATAAGAAACTGTGTCCACTTCTAAGCATATAATTTCTAAGCATATACGAACATATCTATTTATATGTTTATGTAACTGTTAAATATTAATTTATTGTCTTTAACCATATTTTGTCAATAAAAATGATATATAGCCCATTGATGATTTTAATATCTGAAAATAATTATTATTTTACTAATATTTGAGAAATACATTGCCAATATTGATCCTTATGTAGAAAAGGCCGGGATTAATATTTAAAAAACTGTAAATGCACGCGCGCGCGTGTGTGTGTGTGTGTGTTGTGCGCGCGCGTGCGTGTAGATAGATAGATGAATGAAGAGAGAGAGAGAGAGAAATTAAATGTGAAAGTAAATCGGATTCCATTACATGGCAAAGAAGCAAAATTAATATAAATGGAATTGAGATACTCTTACACTGCAGAAAGTAGCCATTGTTAACGGAAAAATTTTTCCTGCAGTGATACAAAAAGGATACTTAGCTCGCATCATTAACAAAATAAGACTTCTCGCCTTCCTTGATTCCAATTTGTACCATTCAAGATCGCACATTGCACGGTATACTGCATTGCTCTTAATGAGTACATATATAAGAAAACATATTAATGTTCACACTATTTCAATGATAATATTAATAACAGTTAATCGAGGTTTAAATAACTTTTTATTTCTTATAAAAGAAATTAGAAACAGAAATGACATACAGCACAAATGAATTTGCATTCTTGTTACTGTTTACTCAGAAACGATCATTCAACATGCGTAAACATGTATTAAAGTAAATTTTTAATAAATACTTGCTGTAAATATGTATAACTTACTTGCTTTGTTACAAGTTCTCCTGCTCCACAAAAAAGAAAAGTATTCATTAATAAGACAATAAATATTAATATTGAGTAGCATCCTTGTATAATGATAACTTTATCTATTTTTCTGTCAGTCAATATCTAAAACATACAAATTATAAGAAAGCAAACAAGTGTATGTATACTATAAAATATCTATTTGTATTTATTTTTAACAATAATCATACAATAGTAAATAAAAACCCGCTTAGGCAAAATACAACACCAAAATGAAGTACCAATACTAATATCATTAAAGAGTATGTATTTTCGATATCGCTGACAAATCTACAAGAATAAAAATTACTTGAAAGAGTTATTACATATGAAATTAATGAAACTTTATATTATATATATATATATATGTATATATATACAGGGTGTCTGAGAACTCGGGTACCGCTAGTTACCAACATATTCTCCGTAAAATTCTAAGATGGAAAGCTCTTTACTAAAAAGCGATCCGACAAGTAGAATTTGAATGATGAGATATTGAAGTTGATGAATGAACGCGCGTGGAATTCATGCAATCATGGTCGGCATAACCGAAACTGGCGTGAGGCACTTCAGACATTTGCATCGTCTCAAAGCATGTTTCTCATTACTCTTTGCATTTAATTTAACTAATTAGTTAAAAATTGTTTAAAATATATCAATTTGTTTCAAAAGTTTAAAAATTTTTAAAAACATCCACAAATTATATGAAAACAATAAAAATTGTTTATAAAATGTTAATGTTGTTTAACCAATATTAAAAAGATTTAATAAATATCAAAGTTATGTGTACACTGAACCAAAACTGTACGTAAATACAATAAAATATTCATTGAATTATGAAAAAGTAATGAAAATTGGTTCAATGAATTCTCATCATGATTTAGGTTATAAAACTATTACTAGAATTCATTGCAAAGATGAATATATAATTATATAAAATGAATTCAGTTATCGTATCAATGAATTAATTACATTAAATCGAACATTAAATCGAACATTAATTGATATGACTAAAATTTTTTTTAATGTAAGCAATGTTACAATTATTTAAAAAAATATATTACTTTAAAAATAAAAAAAAGTTTAAATAACTCATAATTGCTTTAAAAATGTAAAAAGTGTTTCAAAACTCTGCAATTTGTTTTAAAAATCACAAAAACATTGATGTATTTTAAATAATTTTTAATTAATTAGTTAAAAAAGTAATGAGAAACACGATGCAAGTGTCTGCAGTGCCTCATGCCAGTTTCGGTTGCGCGATCATGCAGACCATGATCGCGCGAATTCCACGTGCATCTATTCATCAATTTCAATATCTCACCATTCAAATTCTACTCGTCGGATCGCTTTTTGATACAGAGCTTTTCGTCTTAGAATTTCACGGAGAATATGTTGGTAACTGGCGGTACACGAGTTCTGAGACACCCTGAGAAGATTTTGTTCGAAATGTGCACCTCTTGCAGCAATACAAGCATTGCATCTGTCAAACACGGCTCTTGTAGCAGCCAGGCACTGTTCTTGCGATATTCTGTTCGCTGCAGCTACGATACGATTTCTCAAATGTTGCTCTGATTGAATAGGCGAAGAATAAACTTCTTGCTTCAGAGTACCCCATGCATAGAAATCTAATGGCGTTAAGTCGGGCGAACGAGTTGCCCAATGTACTGCTCCTCCACGTCCAATCCATCGTTGTGGGAATTTTCTATCTAACCAGGTTCTAGCGACTCTGCTGTAATGAGCAGGGCATCCATCTAATTGAAACCACATTTCAGTACGTTGTTGTAATGGGATGTTTTCTAAATAGTCAGAAAATTCATTCTCCAAGAAATTTAGAAAACGGTCCCCATTTAATCTTGCAGGTAAAAAAAACATTTTTTTTCGATTTCTCTGAAACGGAGCAAAAACGAGCATATGTCTATAGGACTTTTTTTCTTAGTTTTTTACTCCTCTACACGCTCCCGAAGTTTTGCGATTTAATTTGGAAACACCCTGTATATATGTATATATGTACATAAAATAAATTCCGAAACATATATCTAAACATAAAATGTATAGTTTATTAAGTACCATTTGCAAAATTGCTAATTAGATTTTCCTAACAAAATTATATAGACATTAATATAACCGCTACATCAAATACTAATAAAAATATTTTTGCAAATGTGCCAGGAAATAATACATATAAAGTGTACAATAAATATGATTACTGAATTAGGATGTAAACATAAAAAATATATTATATTCTATTTAGTACCACACACACTATAAAGACAAATACTTTTTATTACAAAAAAGATAAATATTTTTTGTTATAATAAATGTAACTGTAAATAAAAGATTTTAACATTAAAAGTATAAAATATTTCAATAAAAAGAGATATATTCAACAATATATCTAAATAAATTTTGTTAAATGTTCTAATAAAATGTCAACATAAAAATTCATACCTAATAAGACGTAAATGGGTCGCTACGATATCGTTTAAAATTTTGTTGAAATTTTTGCATGAGATCAAATTAATTAATCGACATCTAAAGTTTTCTAACTGACCACAAATGTGAAGAATTATTACAATTAGAAAGATATCTACAGACATGTAAATGATAGTTGTAAACAATATCGTCATGGCCTGAATGAGAAATGTTAACTCAAATTGTGGACTCTTATCTGTATCATAGAAGTGATATGTCTCCAACGGTAATAATTTGCGTCGATCTGTAGAATTCGTTGCGTATACTATCTGTATACCAAAAAAAGGAAGAATATTTGTTGTGAAACACGATAAAAACATGATGACATATCCAATCATCATAATTAATCGCGCTATTCGTGCATGTTTTATCATCACATTTCTTTCTCTATCCAGCTTGTATGCCATCCAATCTTCTGCCATCATATTTACAATTGACAAGAGAACTTAAAAATATAAATAACTACAGATAAAACGTAAGCATCGTTAAAAGCGCTAAAATTTTGAATCATTTATACATATATATGTTATTTGTAAACTACAGCATCAAAAAGAGAATCATGCACATTTTATAATTTATTTCTATGTTGCTATATGAGAGTAAATTATATAATTTCTGGATTCTTACTATACACCATAATATATTTGAAATTATTATTATTATTTATCATAAAATGATTTAATAAAACAATGGAATATAATGCTAAATATTTTATTTTATATAATTCTGCATATACCTTTTCGTTTTCGCTGAATGATGACGTATTTTAGTGATGTTATTACTAGAGGTAACATTATATGCAAATTGTCTATTACAAGCACCACATTACCCCAAACTTGTATGACTGCATATATCATCGGAACATTAGAAACAAATATTAATAAAATAAGAACTATGCCAACCCAAATTTTTGGCCATAAACTTTTCTTAGTACATTTGTTGGATTTTGGCCACAAGCCCACCATTTCAAATGCTAAACGATGTAGTCTAACTGCCCACATGAAATCTAATAAATTTATATGAGATATGAGCGATTTGAATAATACAGTTGCAAATATAATATTTATATTTAATACTTAATGTTTAAATAATTAAATATTCGTACTTAACAAAAGTGAACAATAAATTCAATAATGCAATATCTCAAGAATGAATTTATAACTCAAAATTATATAAATTTAGTAAATATATTGAGCACAGTTAATAAACGGAAAAAATGTAATATAAAGTTAGTGCCTCTGTATCCTGAAGAATTTGTAATATCCATGTTGAAAATTAGAACGTGTAGAACTTTTGTTCTTTCCACGGTATGATGTTAAATGATCATCACGCATACTCTCTATATAAACGCAAGAACTCGACAGCACTGTAAAACGAGTCATTAAATATTAAGAATGCTACTTCCGATTACAGCTATTGATATCGTAAGAAAGACTTTTATAAACGTTCGAGTTATAAAAATTGTTTATGTCTAATCTAATAAAATAAGAGATAAAAAATGTTGCATCACATCATAAATTCACCGATACTCACTTGGAAAATTTATTTCATATTGCTTTATTACGTTCGCGTTTATTGCGGAACGAGAAATAACGCTATTGCATCTTTAATGAGGCTTTCTATACTAGCCAACAAAAATTACATTTAAAAGAAAGACGATGTGAAATTATATAGTACACGTATAACACGTATCTTTTAAATGTCTCTTTTAAAGACACTTTTGCTATCGTTAATGTGTTAGAATGCAATATTTTCTCTGGACTGTAAGTAAATTATAATTTATACTTGAAAATTGTCCATGCATTTCCAATGATGAAATTTGGATGTCTTAAAACTGCAACTGTATAATGTATGATAGCTTTCAAAGCTGGCAATATTCTCGCAATAACATAACAAATTTGTTTTAGTAGCATGATTCTGCTCGAAAATAAGCTGGAAAATTCTTTTCTCAAAATTGAAGTATTACTTGATAAAACTCACATAGTTATAATAATAATCTTGCCATGCTGATTTGATTAAATACAGTTGTCATCAAATTTGGTAGAACATTATCTAAATATAATTTAGACAAACATTAAGAAGAAATTTTGTGTTATGTACAATACTTTTGTTGTACTATATTATTATATATATCTATAGATTTCTCGTTTTTCCTTAACCCAATTGTTATTTTTGATTATCCCGCCACGCCATCGTCTGTGGACTATTACGTGGACCCTGCAATTTTGTCACGATATAGCTCTGAACTGAATACATATCTTTTAGCTAAAATCATGTGAAAGCTACAGCTCAAAGTCAGATAAAGACAGATAAACATGAATCAAATCAAATATATTTTATTTTTAATTAATTACAATTGCTCAAAAAATTTTTGTTTAAAAAATATTCGCAGAAATGGCAATTTTGGATAAAAAAAATTCTTAAATTTTTTATTCTAAACTTTAAGGAAAAAAATGTGAGCTTCTTAGTTGACCTTTCCATCGAACTATTTTTGTGCAATAAAAATGTTTGTCACATTATAATTGCTTAATGATATAATTTATTATTATAATAAGCAACAATCAATAGACAAAACAATTATATTTTTATTACAGCTTTAACAATAGCAAACTTTCTAAAAATCGTCTACTTGTAAGTATATAATTATGAACGTATTTATTTTTAAGTTTATATAACTATTGAATATTAATATATCATGTTTAGCCATGTTTTAATAAAAATGATATATAGCCCATCGATGTTTTTAATATCTGAAAATAATAATTACTTTTATTTACTGACATTGAGGAATACGTTGCCAACATATATCGATTCTTATGTAGAGAAAACCGGGATTAGTATGCGAAATTTACAGTTTTGAATTTTTACAGAAAAACTAAAAGACTTACCTAAAAAATAAATTTTTAGTTAATTACAACATACCGTATATATGGAAAAATTTCATAATCTGTACTTATCGGGAGTCTCTATATGTGCATGTGTGTGTGTGTGTGTGTGTGTGTGTGTGTGTGTGTG